CTGTAATTATGGGGGGAGGGCGGGTCTGATAATAAAATTAGGTTTTTTTAATAAAATCCAAAGTAAGAGGAATTTTCTAATAGCCCCTAATTAAGTGTGGTCTTTTTGTTTCGATCATTTTAAACGTTAAGGGGTTTTTAGATAATCATCCAGAGTCTAGGGGGGTTCCATGATATTAGCCTTTAGATGCTGCTGGGATCAAACAACCATGATAACGGGGTATCATGCAACATGAAATACAAGCTTAATTTCACTAGCCTGTCTAATCCTACGCATATTATTGTCTTCCATACACCTGAAATTGTAGGTTTTCCTTACCATTAGAACAATTTATTGACAAAAAAAAAGATCTCTTGACAACCCATTTCGTGTACAAGAAGATAAGTCCAAAATCATTATCTAAGTTAGCTATTCGTATGAGTAAAACAAACCGGTTAATCCTTGATTTGGTCATTACATATGTAAGTACTACGGCCTAATTATTAACAACAGCTTCATTGTAATGGCAGTCATCTACACACCAAATCGAAATTACTAGCTTCTCCGGCCAGTGTCGTTGACTTGGAACTCTGAAAACTTACACCCCCTGAATTTGTTCTTACATCAAAAACAGTGCTACTAGCATTGGTTATTATAGAACCAAACCCGCGTGCACGTAGAAGCAGGCGCAGTAGCGCAGCGTGAAGCCGTGTCGACGACTCCACCTAACCGTCAACCGCGGAGCGAGCTCGCAGCTGAGCTGATGTGACGATTCGAGGAGGGGAGCAGCAGAGGTCCGCGCCACGCGCGCCGCCGCCCGCGATGGGTGGACCATTGATGAACATGCAGGGCGCGGGAGGGAGTGCTGCGATCGGGTGTGGCGCGGTCTACGGAGGCAGCGGTGATCTAGGGAGGATGCGCGGAGGAGGATGATAGCGGGATGGTGCGTGCAGGGAGTGCAGTGCGACTGGGAGTGCAGGTAAGGGTGTGTCTGTTGAGAGCGTGCAGGGTGTGACGGCTGATTCGGATCTAACTTTGATGGCTGATGATGAAGATGCGATGATGCATGGTTTGTAATGGGGTCGTGGAATGTTGGTGTGGTGTGAGATGGAGGAATATGGGTGGCGATGGTGGTTGGATTTTTAGTTTTGGGGGGTATGCTTGGAATAATAATATTTGGTCCGCTACTTTTGTCACTGTTCCGTGGATCTGATCTTAATGGAAGGAAGAGATCCATTCTTGTATTTTCTCTTCATATCCATGTGGGTAATAAGTGACAAACTGTTCTAACACTTGAATTTACTTGCTGCTTCTTAAGTGTGAAAAGGTATGAATTCGAAGATACAGCCCTGAGAATTCAATTATTGAATGAGCACCTTTGAGATACACTTTAGGGAGGGAGGCCCGTGGGCAACAAATACATCGTGCTCGATCTGTAAAACTTCAAGATCGGGAAAACTCTCCACAACTCATTATGCCAGTAGGGGGACCCATCACCTATGTCCTCTCCATTGGTCGCCATATTTTGGATACTTAAATCATTTCATCATAGAAAGCACATTTGTACGCAGCGGATGCTTTAAGATTAAAGCGCAATCAGCATTTGGTTGTTATCTCCCGTGTTGGTAAACTCGTTCCGTAGCAATTGTAAACAAAGTACGTAGTATACGGAGGAAACCAGGAAAACTAAGTAACATCAAACAAGAGCTGTGGGGATCTAATAATGAGATCTGGCACAGTTTATAGCTCCAAGTTTACAAAAAAAAACTTTCTAATTAACTCGTGAAGATTGCAGAAAAATTGAGAAAGCAGCAGTCTGTAAGAATTTCGATAAGTCAATGAGCAAAGGAAACAGTAAAGCTAGAACTGAAATTGTCCAACAGGAAAAGAAGAAAGCATGAAAGATTAGGCCCTGCAAAAGCAAAGAGCGATATGCTTAAACAAGAATAAGTTGATATTTCTGGTTACTCCTAGTTTGGAATATAGGATTGTAGACTGTATAACTATTGCCAGGTATAAAGAGGTAAAGTGGAAGAGATAAATTGTGGGTATTGTTGGTGTATTTTAAGTGAGATAATTTGGGAATTTACTTTATGCTGTATTCATGGACATTTTGGAGTTGGGATTCGTTAGCTTTAAGGTGTTATTCATTAGATAATAAGATTCGAATAATTGCCCTCACTTTTCTAAAATTATCCAATTTCATACAAACTTTTTATCCCCAACATCCAAAATTACACTATCTTACTTTGGGACAATCACGAGGAAAGAGGGATAAATTTTGAAGCCTAATCTATTAAATCAATGTATGTTTATTCACTAATTGGCATGTATAATATATAATTATCTTAATTATATTATACTTATAAATCTATATAATCTAAGTTAAAGATATTACTATAATATTATCCTAATATAATTATATATCATTATTTATAAATTGTTAATAATATTTATAATATAGTACTATTATATATAATTATATATTTGTTTATGTTATATATTCTTATTATTAGAAAGAACTATTAATTTAGATTTTTAGATATAAAGTGTTTAGTATAATATAGTTCTTTATAATATAAATTAATAATTTAATAATTATTAATATATAATTACTGTATATATAATTACTATTTATTATACTTTATTATATTAATAATAGTCTTAAATATTATTGTCAATATTGGTAGTTATATGATTAATAATATTTTATTACTAGAATAAGAACATTATAATAATTCTACTATATATTAACAGATATAGTAATTTATAAATTAAAAATTAACAGATTATTTAATAATATTTTTTAATGAATAATATTAAATATTATAGTTACTATACGGTTATAAATATTAATATGTTAATAAGAGACCATGTATCAATACGTGTTTATTTAAGTATAGTAATATCAAGTAATAAATAAATATTATATGAATTTAACTAAAATAAATATTTGATAAATATTATATTATTGAAATATTTATACATAATTCTGTTACTACCTTATAGAATTATATATATAATATTGCATATTATAAAATATCATATATTAATAACATAAATTATATTATCAATCAATTAGTAATTATAATATAATATAAATTTTAGTAATAAAATCATAATGATTATATTCATAATACATGACCAATAACATATAAATAATTAGGAATTTATTGACTTAATGATGGATAAAACTATTCGATCTAATAAGGTCGTCATCATCAATTATCCCGCGGAGTTGTCAAAATCAAAACTTTAAATTGTTCATTATTTCAAATTGTTCTTAACTCACTCATAACTTCCCAAATGTTATAAATTTTCCACGGAACTAATTTTCTACTTACGCAACCTATACCCCGTCCTCCCACCAAGCACAAGCTAGTTACAATGGACGCAGATCGTACTCTCGTCCACATTACTTCATGCCCTACCTTTCCTCATACTGATAACCTATTTTTTTAGAAAATTCTTTAAGGACCAATATGGACCATAGGGGGAAAGTGAGGTGTCCCCTTCCTATTGGATAATGAGTTGGCCATCATTAATGATGGTCAACTCATTATCCAATAGGAGGAGGACACCTCACTTGTCCCCCCTATTAGTCCCATATTTTGGGTCCCTGTAGCAAAGCTCTTGTTTTTACTATTAGAGAGTAAGCGGCTGTTTGGTTGTTGTTGGTAAAGTTGTGTATTTATGACACAACTTGAAAAGTTGTTGTCCACCTCATCAATTTCACTTTTATATTTTTCTTTGTTTGTTTTTGATTCCATTGGAATCATAAATTGTTTGTTTGGTTTGAAAATGTAACTTTAATTGTTTGTTTGGAAAGTGTAAAAAATGGTTCCTACTCAAATGATCATATTGGTTGAAATTATTTTTTATTATTTTTTCTCGACTTCAATGTCAGATTTCTCCTAAAGTCATGTCTTTTTTTATGAAATCACTTTACAAGCCACATCACCATATGAAATCACTTTATACTATTTTCACAACTACAAACAAACAATTGAAAGTGATGAACGCTAACATTGGGACCCATTTTTTTACACTTTTCATCATTTTACATGGTAAAAACATACAACCAAACAACCCCTAATCAGGTCCAATCTAGAATTTAATGAGTCTTAAATAGAGGCGAGAAATGAATTTATATCAAAAAGCTATAGCTTCAAGTTATAGGCCCCAACTCCTATTTGAAACACACCACTCTTCTTTGTCCTATCCTATCCTATCTAATCTAGTGTTAGACTATACTTGTATATTAATAGCCTCAACATCTATTCCCAGCATCTGTAAGGCATTAGTAGATTTAGAAAATGTTTGGATATGTAGTCACATTAATTGCAACACTATGACATCATATTAAGGCAGCAAATTGGACCCATTCAGTAGAATAAATACATTTTATATGTTTACTAGAAATGGAGAGGAAAGAACGCAAGAAACAGGGCTAGTAGGAAAAACCCAGAAAGTAAGCTGGCAATCAAACAGATTTAATGTGTCGATCAGATCCATTGAGGTAATCCAAAACCCTTTTACATATGTGGATCTAGTGATACCACGAACATTAAGTACGTATACATTTTGAAATTCACAAGCTATGAAAACAACAAAACTAGTTAAACCCAGAAAGTAAGCTGGCAATCAAACAGATTTAATGTGTCGATCAGATCCATTGAGGTAATCCAAAACCCTTTTACATATGTGGATCTAGTGATACCACGAACATTAAGTACGTATACATTTTGAAATTCACAAGCTATGAAAACAACAAAACTAGTTAACGAGTTGAACAGATTAGCAACCTCACATGCTGTATACAAGGAAAACAAAATCAGTGACAGTCGAATTCATTTCTGGTGCTTAGGGAGATATTTGAAGATATACCATCTGTGTGTACCCGTTGAACACTGATGTCTCAAATTTTGAGAGGCCCAGCCTCTGAAATAACCCAAACCTGCCATCCTCAATAATCGGATCAGGTTGCACGCGCAGGGTCATATACTTGTTTGATGTCTCGATTAGAGGCGACTGCCACTGCCGCGGAGTTCCCAATACACATCTAATACTGATTCCACAAACCTGCTGTTCTGAAAATGTTCCGAGTAGGAGATCGGCTTATTACCGTGGTTAAAATCATCACGCATATGTCCTCGAACACCCCACCATGCTTCCCCCTTCCCACATAGTTCGTCTACATCCACAGCCTTCTCCCAAAACTTTTTCCTTTTCATCCTTATTCTAGCTTCATCGCCATCTCTGAAGCAACTATGACCACCACCTGGAAGATACAGATTAAGGAAAAGTTAAAGAGAATTTTAAAAACTAATAAGCTTGATAACAAAAGTTACAAAATAATTTCAGGACATATATTTTAAAACATATATAACGGGATAAAAAGATTAGAAGATATCTGGTGCCTGTGCTTGTTCAAATTTTAAGTATTCGAAGTAAAAGAAGCAGATGAAAGCAATGGAGTCATTTTCAACAGAGACATGTCTCTACAAAACAAGTGTAATGCAAAAACAAAAATACATTGTTAGACCATAAATGTACGCAATGAAATCCTTTGCATATGTAATATAGAAATGATGATTGCTCAAAATAAATAGTCAAAATAGTATCTCTTTGTCATCATTATTTTCATCA